TACAATTTTATTAATAAGTTTGATAATAAATTTAACATTGAAATTTTAAAATGTTTAAATAAAAATTCAAAAATAGATAAAACAAAAAATGAAGAAATCAAATTAAAAATACTTAATACAATTAAAAGTGTTAATAAAAGGATAAAAAACAAACCTAATAATTTCAAAAATATAAATATTCAGAATAATATAACAAAGACAAATAAATTTTTTAAAAATACACCTAATATTGTCGTGTCGTACGCTGATAAAGGGGGAGGTATAATTGTCAGTGATAAGATTGATTATACCAATAAAGTAGAAAATTGTCTAAATGATACGAAAATGTATGAAAAAATAGATAAAGAGCCAAATAAAATTTTGAAACAATTAGAAAATGCTACTAATAAAGTAATTAAAAAATTAAATAATATTGACAATATTTTTAAAGAAGATAATTATTACAACAAAAAATTCGATACTGTATTAAATAAATGCGTTTCAGCATTCTGTTATGGGCTTACAAAACTGCATAAAATTGACTACCCAATTAGAATTATTATTTTTGCAATAGGCACTCCTACTTATACTTTGTCAAAAGTTTTAGCCAACTATTCATATAAATATAGCCCCAAATCACAATACAGTATAAACAATAGTTGTCAATTAATAGAAAAACTTAAAAACTCAAAAATCCCATCAAATTACAAATTTTTTTAGTTTAGATATTACAGCCCTTTTTAATAATGTACATATTCCCCTTATAGTTTCAGCCCTAACTAAGAGATAGCAACATTATGGCATACATATAAATTTATCATGTACAGAATTTATAGATATTATAAAATTTATTTTACAAAATAATTATTTCGTTTTCAATAGATCATGTTTTAAACAAAAGTTTGGCTGTGCAATGGGTAATCCTCTTAGCCCCATACTTTCTGAATTGGTAATGAATGACTTAGAACAGTATTGTTTAAATAAATTACCCTTCAAACTACAATTTTACGTAAAATATGTAGACGACTTACTTTTATGTTCTCTAGAGGATAATATAGATACAATACTACAAACGTTCAACAGTTTTGATCCATATATACAATATACTTTAGAAAATCCAACACTTAGAATAATAAACTTTTTAGACATTACTATTTACTTCAATTCTGACAAAATCATAACTAACTGGTATAGAAAACCAAGTCATTCAGGACAATATCTTAATTTTGAATCACACAACCCCTTACAACAAAAAATTGGAACTGTTTATAATTTAGTAGATATCAGTCATGTTTCTAGAGTTCTTACATGTAATTTATTTAAATGTCATGAAATTATTGTTTATACATAAAATGCAAAAATGAGTGCAGGGTAGTTTTGCATAAAATTCACGATATTGTTAGCATATATTTTCATGTATCCTCGATTTATTAAATTTAATGCGAAACTTAATTATTAAAGTTCTTCTTATCATAATCTTATGATGATTTATATTATTTGTAGCGTATTAATAAGATAATAAAAAATGTAGCTATGGCATTTTATATCGTTTTGACTTAAATTTTGTGTGTTCTAATGGACAATCTAAAAAAAACTATTAAATTAAATAAAGCTTATTTTATTTACTTTAAACTTTATAACTGTTATAAAAAATATTGTTATTGAATGAAAATCATGCAATTTTTTACGTGATTCAGATTGGATAAGTATGAAGTTTAAGGATAGTTTCAACAAATAAGCCTTATATTAAATATTGTTATTGAATGTAAATCATGCAATTTCTTACGTGATTTAGATTGGATAAGTATGAAGTTTAAGAATAGTTTCAACAAATAAGCCTTTTTTTAATTCGAATCTGCACGCCGTTTGGATGTGTAAAATCATCTTAACGGCGGACTAAATACTCTTCGCATTTAGCTTAAGTCAGTAATTACTGGAAGAGCTATGATCTATTGTCAAAACGTACATTCGAAATAAATATGACTATTGTTACATGTATTGATTACAGATTTCTTTTTTTAAAGTAACCCAAGAACGTTGGCAAAGTAGTGGACATAAAGATACAATATAAATCAATCCACATAAAGGATACTGAAAAATGTAACTTGTAACTAAATGACTTCGCAATATATCAAAAGCCATAGATTAAACTAAAATTATCAATAATAAAAGTTTATCATAAGTACAGTATTGTATTGGCCAGCCTCCATATTGTTTATATTGTATTGTGTCTCAATATATTATTTATAATTAGTTGGTTATTGAATATAAAAATATTAATAAAAACCATACTCAATCAACGCAGGTGTTTCCATTCATACGATGATTGCACCACCTTTGTACACAATATTATTTCATAGGAAGCACATTCATATTTATAATTATATTATCAGCCATATAATTTTATAGAAGTGTAACTTCTTACTTGCATATTCAAGCATCCACTACCCACAGATTTTTTTTAATTAAAAACCTGATTTTTTTAATTCTGTTAATTTTCGAGGTTGAGAGAAATCAGAGGAGCAATAAACATTACATTTTTTGCATTTATTTTTTCAACATTAATATATAATTTGTTTCTTAGTAATAAACATATTATCTGATTTTGTAAGTAAATAAAACTTATTCTATTATTACACAAATGGAAAGATTTACAGTTTCTTATGGCATGACGGAGCAAGAGTAAAAATTGAGCCCTGATCGTTGGGGCAGATTACTTGTTACTTGCTGCATCAGTTTCTAACATAATCACACAATACTTTAGCTCTTAAGTTATTGGGCAAAGTAGATATTAAATCTCCAACGAAACATTTGTAAAAGATAAGATTTTAGTAAAATAAGCTTAAAAAAGTTTTTTTTTTTGAAACCTGTGTACTTCAGAACTTTCATTGTTATCCTTTCTATTGAATCTGAGTACCTACAATTTTGACCACCATTTTCAACCCAAATAAAATCTATCATCAGCTATAGAAAGTTTTATGCAAAAATATAGTAATATTAAAGTATGACTTCAACGGCAATGCTGCCCAATGGTCTTCATTTATTTATTAAAGCAACGTTTCGTCCACTTTATAATGAGGCCCTTTTCAAGCACTATAAATTTCATACAAATCATGACAAAATTAATAAAAAGGTAAANCAAGTCTTTCCTTGATGATTAGTTATGTACATATTTCTTACAGCATGTATCAACGGAATATTATCATACTTATCAGCATCATTGATCAAAGCTCCACTTTTGATAAGTATGCTGGCTAGAGAAATGTTATTGTTTTTTACAGTATAAATTAACGGACTCAATACTTTTTTATTTTTAATGTTCACTAAAGCTCCAGCGTCGATGAGCATGATTGCCACAGGAGTATTATTTCTTTGCACAACATACGTCAGTGGCATATCACCCCATCTATCTGCAATGTTAACATGGACCCCACTATCAATCAGCATTTCAATGATAGCTTTAGATACTGCAAAAAATTAATATTGTTATGTCTAAGATCCATTTTCTTAATTGAACTTCTTTTTTCAATAAGTATTTTTTTAAGATAAATAATAATCTTAAACATGTAGAATAAAATAAAACATGTACTTCTCAATGTTAGTGCTGTTTTGAAGAAAAGCGTTCATTAATTTCGGCCTTAAATGAGTTCTAATGGGGGGTTAACGTTTTTACCTAGTTCATTTTAATTTACCATTAAATATACTGTATTCTGCTGAAAACTAGCTACGAAAGCCTCGATTTTTACAGTTACCTTACAATTGTTCAATAACATTCTGAATTGGTAATGAATAACTTAGAACAGTATTGTTTAAATAAATTACCCTTCAAACTACAACTTTACGTAAAATACGTAGAAGACTTACTTTTATGTTCTCTAGAGGATAATATAGATACAATACTACAAACGTTTAACAGTTTTGATCCATATACACAATTTACTTTGGAAAATCCAACACTTAGAATGATAAACTTTTTAGACATTACTATTTACTTCAATTCTGACAAAATCATAACTAACTGGTATAGAAAAACAAGTCATTAAGGACAATATCTCAATTTTAAATCACACAACCCCTTACAACAAAAAATTGAAATAGTTTATAATTAAGTAGATAAAAATATAAAACTGTCTAATAATAAGTTCCATTAAGAAAATTTTGAGATATTAAAAAAATTATGAAAAGCCAATAACTATCCATTAAAATTTATTGATACATACATTAAAAAAAGACTAAACATATTAAATAAAAAAGATAGTTATAAAAATCATAGTATAACCCCATATAATGACTATATTGTCTTACCGTTTTCAAAAGACTATGAATATGAGATAAAGAAGATTTCAAAAAAGTACAATATTAACGTCATTTTTAAAAACATTGATAAAATTAACATAAACAATCAATTTGGTGAAGACAAAATAGAACCGCGTTACAAACCAAATATAGTGTATAAAATTAATTGTATAGATTGTCATCGGTATTATATAGGTCAATCAAGTAGAACTCTGCAAACACGAGTTGGTGAACACATGA